CCAAATATGGGAAAACAATTGAACATTTAGGTAACCAAAGCATAGAGAACTCCAAAGAACATCAACTTAATTAAAACCATGCCCAGGGCTGGTGAGATGGCTCAGTGGTCTAAAGCACCTACTTAGAACAAGCTAAGCAAAGCACAGGGACCACGGTTCAATCCCCCAGCACCACATGCCAGCCAGCCCCGCCCCCTGGTGAGCTGGCCACACACACACATAAATAAATAAAATTTAAAAAAAAAAAAAAACATGCCCAGAAATATAATAATCAAGATTCCAGAAATTCAGCACAGGAACAGTATCCTGAAAGCTGCTAGAAAAAAAGAAACAGATCACACTTAAAGGAAAACCCATCAGAATAATGGCAGATTTCTCTTCACAAACCATCAAGTAGAGAAGAGCATGGAGCAAAGTACTACAAGTCTTGCAAGAAAACAAATTCTGACCCAGACTGATATATCCTGCAAAACTCTCTTTCAACTATAATGGAGAAGTGAAATACTTCTGTGACAAAGAACAACTAAGGAATTTCATGACAATAAAGACAACCCTACACAAACTACTAACAGATATTCTAGAGATGGATCAAAATGACCACAACTCCAAGAATGAGAATGGAAAGAAACCCACCAAATAGGGCAAATGATTAAACACAGGAGAAAAAGAGGTATGTAACAGCAGTCTTTCAAATATTCTTTTGTATATAGCAGCAAAATATTTCCATTAGCCTACCGTACAAATAGACTTCTCTTGCACCCTACGGGTCAAGATTCTGTCTGGATCTACAGGATGGCTATCAAGGAAATAGCAGTAGCTCAGTCCCACAAGTGACACCTGGCCCCCAGTAAGCATCATGGACACTGTCCATGTCTACCACATAATAGAACTTTGTGCAATATTCTATCCCAAAACTCTTAGCAGTGCTAGTCATATATTTGCCATCCGAGTATTTATCTTATGTTTTATTCTTAGTAATTTTTTACTATCATAAAAACTTTTTCTTAGTTGGTATTTTTGTCTGTATTAACCTAATCAAATACTCTGTGAGTGCTCTGAATTGATCACAGATTTGTACATATGATACACTACAGTCTGGCCTATTAGTTAGACTCACAATTTTAATTTTTGAATATTATTTTGAATACTTAATTGAATTTTAATTAATTAATAATCAATTTCTTGAATATTGCTTACTTTTAATTTTTGTTTTATGATTTATACTGTTTCTTTGAATTATAATCTATTTATAAAACATGGCATGATATTTTCTCCTAGTATTAGAAACTTTAAAAAGTATATTTTGATTTTCCATTGACTTTATTTCTTCCTTGTGTTTTACACACACACACACACACACACACACACACACATGAAAAAGTATCTATATAACCTGACATAAGATTGATACTGTTTTGTGGAAATCTTCAATGACCTTTTAAATTGGTTCATCAAATATAACTATATTTTGTATAGTCCTACATAGCTACCATGTTGAAAGCTCTTTATTCTTTATCCAGGACTATACAGCAATTTCTCTTGCCTTCTGGATTATGGTCTTTTTTATGTTCTATAGGCTACATCTGGAGATATTAGAATATTTGGAGTTTGTATAACTGGAAAATATTTTACTTTCATTTTTCAAAGGTATGTTTGCCAAGTATAAAATTCAATGAGAACAGATCTTTTTTTTTTTTCAGTCCTTTGAATAAATAAGTTTAGTTTCTTAAACATTTGCTCTTTTTTTCTTTTCTAATGTGGAATAAGATGCTATTTAATTTTGTTCTTCCAAGGCTAATATTTTTTTCTATGTATATGCTTTAATGATGTTTTTCTTTACAATTAGTTTTGGATAATTTCATCTTTGTGTATCTTGGTATGATTTTATTCATATTTCTTGTGCAAAAGTTTCATTTTTCTTGGAAATGTGGTGTTATAATTTTAACTAAATTTGGAAATTTTAATTTTTTTAAAAAAGATTTTTAAATATGTATTGCCCACCTTCTACTTTGAGAATTCTAATTATATAAACATAAGTTTCTTGATTTTGGCACAGAGTGAACTATTATATGATTGATCTATAAACTCTTTCTTCTTCATATTTATTTTAGACTATTTTTATTGTTATAATCATTTAAGTTTGTAAATAATTTTTTACAATGTGCAATCTATTATTAATCTCATGTATTCATTTCAGAAATATTTTTCTAAAATTCACTCTGTTACATCTTATATCTTTCACATTTCAGTGTTTGTCTACAATTTTTAATTTGCTATATAATTGTTATTGATTTTCAATAAAGTTAATATAGAGTTAAAAAATAAATAAAGCTATTTATGGTTATATATATTTATATTTATAGTAAAATTTTGTTTGCCTATACATTAAATGTAATTTGTAATTGAATATTCTATACATTTTTATTTGCTAATTCAACTTTGCTTCAAAATAAACATCAAACTATAACCAAACTAGATGATTAGTACCTTTCTCCAATTTACAAAAGAAAAACTTCCCTGAGCTTTGAGGAGTACTGTGCTTACAGGTAGGGTATAAACAGTTAAACTTCTTTTATTTTGGTAGTATTTGTGGTCTTTCTGCTAAGAGTTCAAGAATTTTCAAGCAAGAAATATATCTCAAATCAGAAGCATCAAATATTTTTTAAAACTAAAAATGGCTAATATATATATGAACCATGGAAACATTCTGATCTTCATATATCCAGAATTTTAAAATGTTCTTTTTAAATTATAAGGTAGAATTCGTATTTTTCATTTCACTCTATTAAGAATCACTTTCCGACACCTCCTTTCTCATTAGTGAGTAGCCAGCAACCTTTCAAAATTTAAGAATGTTCCATCACCACTGCTAAGTAGGAGGGGCCCTGGGAGGGGTGGCAGCATCACCCACGCATAAGGCTATGAAAACTTCGGATCCAACAAATGAGAAGCAGAGCTTATAAGATTTGTTGCCCTTGGTTATATGTCAAGAATGGCAGGCCTGCTGGAACAAGTTGGTCACTATTCTAGCCGAATCCTGGGAAAGATAGATAAAAACTGCAGAGACAAGTCAATATTGTGGAAATATTGTGACCTGAAGAACACACGGAGGAGTGTAGTGTGTCTGCTCACACAGGGATGCACAATCAAGGCTAAAAACTTTCAGAGCTGCACTTGGGGAAAGAGCCAGAAGAGCTGGCTCCTCCTGCAGTCCAGTGAAGAGAGTGGGGGCCGGCCTGCTGCTAATGGTCCTGCGTGGTTAGTAGTAAAACTACCATTAATCACCCCCAAGGCTTTGGAAGGCCAGGGTGTGGTAGAATAATCAGTGTACTGTACTTAGTTTATCAAGCTGTATACAAAACTACTGTGAGTTGGTATGAATAATCCCTGTCCTTAAGCAACATAAGAAGTTTAGGGCATAGTTCACAATACTAATGGACATTTATTATGTGCTGACTATAGACCACAGGGTGACCTCCTCTTAAGTACTTCCTATGTGTTTGACAACATTTAATCCTCTCAGAAGCCACACAAGGTAGGTCATATTGTCATCTTCACTTTATAAGTGAGTGGACCGTGGCCCAGAGAGACCTTGTTACAGGTCTGGTGAGTGGAAGAAACAGTCTTCTAATCAGGCAGTTGGGAGAAGAGATCACACACCAACCACCAAACCTCAACGCTTTCTTAAATGGTTAGTCAAGTCTCCACTGTGTGAAACAGCTCACTAAAAAAAAAAAAAAAAAAAACAGAATCACAAGCCTACAATAGGAAGAAGAGAAAATGTAGACACCTTGATTGCTACAGAAATTTACTAGATACACAACCATGTTGGAAGCTTCCCTGATCAGAATTCAGAGAAAAAACAGTAGGTGATCAAACTGGCTGCTGCTCAGTTACCTGGAGATTCTTCTAGAGCAGACCAGCCAGCTAAAGTTATGTCATATCTATCATCTGCTTGGGATGAATTTACCCTAAAACTACATTGACTGTTTATCTGAAATGCAAATTTAATTAGGTAGCCCAGGCTTTTCTTGCCAATATGGCAACTCAGCAGGGTCAAACAAGCTCCAGGTGCACCAGTGGTTAACATTTAAAAAACTAATACTATATAGAGCTGGGCTGGGAAATTCTCTGTGTGACAAAGGAAGTCAGGGTGCCGATGTATGAACATTTTAGACTTGGGTGACTTTTGCATATCTTGGCTGGGATTTTTTGAACAACTACCCAACTCCTTCTGAGAACACCAGTGCTGAACTGTCTACAAATTTCTTGATAAACAAGATTGATGACACAATGAAAGAAAAAAATGCTCAACACTAATGGTTAAAACCACATGGATTAAATTGGGCTGAAGAGAACTTTGGAAAGGGCTAACAGCCACTCACAGCGTTTGGCTGACAGAGCAGGAGCCTGAAAATCTTTTGTCTCCTCTAGACAGTGCTCTATCTCTTCAACAGTCACTGAAAAACGTTCTGTCCCAGCACTGCTGACATGCTCTGGAGAGATGAACTGCACTGTGGTGAAGGACAGCAAAAGCAATAGTCCTTCTAAGAAATGGCCAGAGGAATCACTGTGGAGGGCAGTGCTAGCTGGGCTTCTGCCACTCTGTCTTATAATTATAACTAGGCTGCCAGGAAAATCCTCTCTGCTTTCCAACAGGGTTTGGAAATGTGCCCCCTGGCTCACCCTACTTGAACTCCTGGGGGGACAGGGAAAGTGCTCCTAGGAGGCGGCTGGGAGCTCTTCCCACACACAAGCAAGCACTCAAACACAGCGATGTAGGAAACCTGGATATTTTGCTCTGCATCAAACTGATACTAAGCTCAAGACAGCAAACCAAGCCCAAGGTACAGTTCTGAGACCAGAGATCCTAAATGAAAAGTAAAACCTGTAGAAATTTACTACAGGAAACAGTCTGAGGATTGATTCATCTAAAACTTCTAGATCAATAAAATGCCAGAAAAATCACCAGAGAGAAAGCAAAGGATGCTGCTCCGTACCTTCCGTCTAAATCCTCGATGTCTTTTATGAACAGGCCTCCTTGGTGTTTGCACAAATTCTTGCATGCCTTCAGGTGGCCCTTGTTCTTGTACAAGATATAGTCTTTGCCGGTGCTCTTATTTCGAAAAAAATTGATTCCTTCTTTGAGACTGGCAGCTTCAACAGGTGACAGACGCAGCAGGGTCTCGGTTGTCTGTTTCAGGCTATGAGAAGAGGAACATGTGAAGGGGAACATTAATAATGTCAGGTGGGATCATTGGGAACCTACAGCTCAGAGCCCCTCTCCGAGCACCCAGGCTTGGTGGCCACCTAGTGAGGTCCTGACTTCCCCCTCCCAGTGGTGCATTCTTCCTCTAAAGGATCAACTTCTCTTTTCTAAGGATCTCAGATGTTTCTCACTTGCCTGTCCATCATTTGCTGGCTCCGGGTATTTCCAAAGAGTTACAGTTGCTCTTTCCGTTGCTGTTGCTCTTTTGTTCCTGTGAGGTGTTAGTCTGCCTGCAGAGAGAATGTTTAAAGTTTCAGTTGCTATTTTCTCCCTGTACCACACCTTTCACAGCCAGTGGCTGTCTTCAGGCTTCAGTGCTAAGCCGTTGCAGCTCTTTCCGGGTCTCCTGCATCTGCCCTTTGCTCTGCGTAGAAGCAGCTCTGCTCTTTCATCTCTCACCACCATCTATCAGCCTTGAGACTCAGGTACAGCACTGTAGCCCCTGCAGGCCTGGCTCTGAGACCCTCCCAGGTGGGATCCAGCATGCTGTGAATGCTCCGTGTCTCTGCAGAAGACTGAACACAGCACTTAGAAAGCCTCCTTCTTCCTCGAGAAGGACAACTCGAAACGTACTCCGTGCTGTCTCAGCGCTCCCCCCCACACACACACACACACTTAGCACATGTGGCATGTCCTCACGAGCTAGCTATTTAACAAATTAACCCTCCTGCTGCTGTATATTTTGTTTAGAAAGCCTCAGTGTCTTTTCTGTGCAGTGTACCTTGTTCATGCAGCACTGTAATTCTTGCTGATTGTATTCTATAGTGTAGTACTATAGTTTTATGTTCTATTACACATTACAGTACTGGATGTAAGGGATATACAAATTAAAGTAGCAACATCAACTGGAGTTTCCCTTAGCCATTTCTTTGTTCTGAAAATTGCATTGTCCATACTATGTACAATTCCTCACTAAGACCAAATCAGTTAATAAGTTACTTGCAAGAACTAAGCAAGATTGCTACGTGAAGAACACCTGTAACTGAAAAAAATGTCATAGATGGGTAAAAAAACCTGCCAGTGAAGAGAATAAAGAATGACTTCCAACCTTAAACTGGGGAAGGTACCTCTGTAATTATGATATACTCCCTCAAAGTGCATTCTGTGTGTGTGTGTGTGTGTGTGTGTGTGTGTGTGTGTGTGTTACCGGTGATTGAACTCAGGACCCTGAGTTCAAGGGTGTTTGCCAGGCAAACACTTACTCTACCGAGCTATCTCCCTGGACCCAAAGCAAATTCTTATGGTCACTTCTGTCCCAAGTTCTTGGCAGTTCTGTTCAAAAGGTTTGAAATTTTTCCAAAAGCATATTTTAAATGAATCCAAATGAAATTCATTATAGGCTTCATAATAGCCTTTTGTGACTTTATTGTGTGAGTTCAAATATTCAGTGCTAAGCCTAAGTAAGCACAGAGGCAATTCCTGGAATAATGCAAAGTATAAAAAGAAAACCTCTTGAGTTTTATTTTATTTGACTGAATAAACCAAACAACCAGAGGTCTGTGTTAGACTCCAAACCTGGTAATATAGTGGATAAAACACAATGTACTAATGACATCAGTTTCCAGCTCAATATAAAGTCATTTAGAGCCTAAGCAAAAGAAAAAAAAATGCTCCTATATACATGATTTTATGTATTAATGTTTAATTCATGCCTATTAATAAAACAAAAGAATGAATTTCATTTGGACATTTTCATATATGCATGTGAGATATTTGATTACTTCTCACACTATCACTGGTTAATCTTAATTGTCAATATGACTAAACTAAGAATCTTCTGGGCAGGTGATTGGGTCATAGGGGGGCTGTAGTTATGGGTGGATTAATCCACTGGTGCTCATGGCTAAATGTGCTCTTAGGAGAGGGTGCACATCTGTAAGAGTGGGTCACAGGGTGCATGCCTTTGAAGAACACGTCTCTCAGTGCTGGTCTTCCCCTATGCTCTGAGTCCAGGTTCCATTAAATGAGCAGCTGTTTCCTGCTCCATCCCTCCACCTTGATACTCCTGCTTTGAAGCCAGCTGATAGTGGACTAAACTTCTGGAATCATGAGACAAATAAACTGTTTCCTCCTTTAAGTTGTATATGTTCATGGATGAGTCTCATCCAAAATGTATGAATGAAGGCAGGAACAAAAGAGTCTACACTTGGACTGGCCACATAGCTCAGCAGACTAAAGCACCTGCTTAGGCAGAGAGTAGAGGCTGGGGTTCGATCCCCAGTATGCCATGCCAGCCCTGCCCCCAGGGCACACTGAGACAGCGATTGAGACTGGGTGTGGTGGTTCATGACTGTTATCCCAGCACGCCTGTAATCCCAGCACTTGGGAGGCTGTAAACAAGAGGATCACTACTCGTCCAATCTATACAGTGAGACCCTGTAGACACCAGTAGACCCTGTCCTAAAATACTCATTCTGGGCTGGCCAGGTAGCTCAGCAGATTAAAGCACCTGCTTAGGCAACAGGGACCGGGGTTCAATCCCCGGCATGCAGTGACGGCCCCAGTCCCAGGGCACGCTGAGAAGGCAATTGAGACTGGGGATGGTGGTGTGTGCTTGTAATCTCAGCTCTTAGGAGGCTGAAAACAAGAGAATCACTTCGAGTCTGATCTGTGTAGTGAGACCCTGTAGATCCTGTACTAAAAAAAGGGATACTCATTCTGTTCTTGAGATAGGTGTTAATTACAAGGGTATGTCCATGTTATGAACATTTTAAGAGTTATACACTTATGAATTGTGTGTTTTTTGTGACTATTAACAACTGTGGATGTCAGGTATTTTGTCCCAATGACGAGAGACCTGTCTAACGCACCCCACGACTTCTCTTACCTTCCTGTTCCCTTCCTCGACTCCCTTCTTCTTCTCGAATAATTTTCCTTATATTTTTATGTTATCATTTCCCCCCATAAGAGAAAAACAAGTGATACTTGTCCAAGTCTGGTTTATTTTGCTTAGTGTCATGGTCTCCAGTTTCATCTCTTTCCTGCAAATGACGTGAGCTCATTGTTCTATATGCCTGAATACTACTCCATTAGGTATATATACCACAGTTTTTCTCCTTTCATCTGTTGATAAAGCTAGTCTGATCCCATAATTTGGCTATTGTGAACTCTGCCACAATAAACATGGATATGTGTCTCTATAGTATTGGAGATGTTAACTCCTTTGGGTATATAACAAAGGATAGTATAGCTGGATCATATGCTAGTTCCATTTTTAGCTTTTTGATGAACCTCAACATTGATTTCCATACTGGTTGTACTTATCTACATTCTTACCAACAATGTAAGTTTCCATTCTCTTACTTCCTCACCAGTATTCCCCCCCCGCCCCGTGGTACAGATTCAACACAGAGAGGCAAGCACTCTAGCTATGTCTCCCATACTTTATTTTATTTCGCTCTATTTTATTCTCAGACAGTGTCTCACTGAGTTACCCAAGCTGGCCTCAAATTTGTGATCCTCTTGTTTCAGCTTCCTGAGTAGCTGTGCTCCACCTATATTTTGTATTCTTTATGACAGCCATTTCTTCTGCAATGAGAGAGAATCTCAGTGGTAGTTTTGCATGTTGGTGATGGCTATAGACATTAAACCTGTTCCCCCATATACTTATTGGGCATTTATATTTCCTTTGAGAAGTGTTTCTAGAGTTCATTTGCATATGTATTGATTGGATTACCTCATCTCTTGGCGTTTTATTTTTAATGTACTCTAGATACTAATCCTGTATCAAAACAATAGGTGGCAAAGTTTTTTCCCATCTGTAGCTGTCCCTTTACTATGTTTTTTCTTTGCTTTGCAAAAGTGAAAACAGCTTTATAACTTGATGCAATACTATTTGCCAGTTCTTTTTTATTAAGCTAATTGGTGCATATTGATCACACTCATTATAGGGGATTTGTACAAACACTTGGCATGTCTTTGTACCTCTTTTTTCTCATTCCCCTCCCCTTCCTTCAACCCTTCCTTATTTACAAAGCCTTGCATCTATTTTATCTTTCTTTTCTCACTGTTTTTCTTTTCCTTTCCTTCCTTTCCCTCTCTCCTCTTTCCCCTCCCAGGTTCCCATTTTCTTTTAAATAATTTCTTCCTATTACACAAGATCCATTATACATTTTTGTTAATTTTTAAAAGAGAATAAATTAGAATTAAAACAGAAAAATTGAAAACGATATAGAATTTCACTTAACAAATACTATGAATTTCACATTATTTGTTGAAATACAGTGTTGTCATCTAACTAGTTATTCATATTACCAGATATATGTGTGTAAAATTGAAGAAATAAAAAGAAGAAAGAAATGTTTTTCTTTTATTAATTTCATAAATATTATTTCTTCAATAAGAAACATTTATTATTTCTTCAATAAATGTTCTTATTGAAGAAATAATATTTATGAAATTAATAAAAGAAAAAATACAAACAATTGAAAAAAAGGAGATGAAACAAATTAAAGCATTAACTGCTTCTCTGTATATACCAGCAGAAATGCACAGTACAACTGTCCAAACCATCCTGCGTACATACATAGATAAATCTTTCCCTCACTCCCCTTCTTATCCTTCTCAACTCAGTAACTGTTTCCTTTTGAATAAGTTCATTCTAGGGGCTAGGGAGATAGCTCACTGGCATAAGCACCTGCCTGGCAAGCACAAGGTCCTGAGTTCGATTCCTGATACCACACACACACACACACACACACACACACACACAAGAAGTGAATAAGTTCATTCCCTTTTCCCAGTATCTATTGTACTCTTCAGTTTCCATTTTTCTTTTTCAAGTTCTTACACTAAGGAAACAATACAATACTTGCAAATGCAGATCTGATTTATTTCACTTAAGAGTATGGTCTCTAGTTGCATCCATTTACCAACAAAAGACTCAAATTTATCCTGCTTTATAAGTGAATAATACTCCATTGTGTAAATATACCACATCTGCTTTATCCATTCTTCAGTTGATAGGCATCTGGATTGTTTCCAGGATTTAGCTATGATGAACTATATACACGGGTGTACATATATTGCTGTGGTATGAGGTTTTCAGTTCTTCTGGAAAAATACACAGAAGGGGATAGCTGGCTTGAATGGAACTTCCAATCCTACCTTTATAAGGAAACCTCTCACTGATTTCCACAGTGGTTGTACAAGTCTGTACTCCCATCAATAGTGCAGACGGGTTGGGGCCAGGGCGATGGCTCAGTGGAGTAAGCACTTCCCTGGCAAGCGCAAGGACCTGAGTTCAATCCCTGATTCCACAAAAAAAAAAAAGTCTGGAGAAGGGTTCCTTTTTCTCCACAGCCTCCCCAGCATTTGTTATTGACTGACTTCTTGATGTTAGTCATTCTTTCTGGGTGAGATGGGATCCCAGTGCTGTTTTAATTTGCATTTCTTGAGTGACCAATGATGTTGAACATTTTTAAATATATTTACTTACCATTGGTGTTTCTTCCTCTGAGAAGTGTATATTCATCTGAGATGCCCATTTTTGGATTGGGTCTTTGAATT